TTTTTTTCGTGGGCGTGGGTGTGCTATACGTGGTTGTTGCTGTGGTGGTGGTATATGCAGGCAGGCAGGCAGGCAGTATCTAGGCAATGTATTGTAGCGGGCTGGTCTTGCCTTGCCTTGCCTTGCTGTTTCCTGGTTTTGGCTGGCTTGTTAGGTAGGTTGCTGCGAGCTGCTTTAGGCAATAGGTAGGTAGGAAGCTGTGCTGCTGTGCTGCTGCTTGGTGCGCAGCAAGCACCACGACACCTCCGCAATAACTACCACAACCAGCAGCATGTCCCTCCCTCTCCCCCTACCCTGCCCTGCCCATCCCATCCGCCAAGCACGCAACCCAACCCAACCCTGACAACCGCAAAACACACCCACACACACACACACACACACACACACACACACACACAACCAGCCAAGCCAAGGCAAGCACGCGCCGCGCCGGGCCGGAAAATAAGGACCTACTGTACCCAAACCAAACCCGGCTCTCGCAAGCTCGCAAGCTCTTAACGCCTGCGGCCCAAGCTCCCAAATGCGGGCGGGCCAGCCCGTCCGTCTCGTCTCGCCTCGCGGGTCCTGTCTCAGCAGGCTCGTCTCATCTCAGCAGCCGGGGGCAGGGCCAGACCGGGATAGACCAGAACACACACACACAAGCACGCACGCCATACGCCTTGCTCACAGGAGCAGGAGCGCGCTGCGCCGTGCCCGTGCGAAAGCCCTCCGCATAACTGTAGGTTGGACCTGCTGTAACTAGCCGCCGTGTGCGTGCGTGTGTGTGTGTGTGTGTGTGTGTGTGTGTGTACTGTGTGTGCAAAGTGCACCCTACGCAGCCCAGACCAACGCCCTGCCAACCTTGCTTGCTTGCTTGCTTGCTTGCTTGCTTGCTGCCAACCCTGCCCTGACCGGCCAGGACCCCCAAAGTCCAAACCCAAAGGATCGCGCACGCAGCACCAAACACCCCTCCCCCCCCCCAAATCCAAAATCCCCCCCACCCTACCCTACATGCCCCCTCCCCCCAGGGCCCAACCGCCCAACCCCGGCCGCAATAACTATTGTATCATAACAAGGCCCTGATCAGGGCCAGGACCAGAGCCAGGGCCAGGACCAGGGCTAGGGCGAACTCTCGGGGCACCACCACCAGCCAGCCAGCCAAGCAAGCATTCGACATTACCATTGTGTGAGTGTGAGAGTGTGTGCGTGTGGCTAAGCGCACAGGCCCCTCCCTTCATCCATCCATCCATTCATCCATCCTTCCTTCCTTCATCCTCCCGCACGCACGCACAGCAACGCACGCACCCTAGCACGCGCCGCACCGACCTCAGCATCCGCCCTGCGCCCGGCCGTTGGCCGACTCACGCAAGTGCAACGCACGACTCGGTTTCGATGCGAGGCCCCGTGCGCCCCTGGTCCCTGGAAGAGGCAATGCGCGCGCCGATCCGGCTGCAAGCGAGAGTGCCTAAGGCTAAGGCTAAAGGCATGTACGGGGCGCGTGCGTAGGGAGCGAGCGAGTGAATGAGCATCAGTCACCTAGGTAGTGAGCTGGGGGCGCTCTGCAGCAGGCAGTGGCAGTGGCAGTGGCAGTGGCAGTAACAGGGCTCTCATTCTCTCTCGCGCTCTCTCCTGGCCTGGGCGGCGGAGAGACCCGCAGCACCTTGCCTTGCCTTGCCTTGCTTTGCTTTGCTTGCTTGCTTGCTTGGGTGTGGTGTGCTGTGGGCGGCGTGGCCGCTGGCCCTGGACCGTGACCGTTGGCCGTGAAGCGTGACCGGCGCCAGCTGCGGGCGGGTGGGTTAGCTACCTGGCTAGCTGATGAGATGCATGGCCTTGCCCTGCGGCTACCGCATCTGGACGAGCTGGCAGGCAGGCAGCAGCTGGACGTGGAGAGATGGGGTCTGTGATGAGCGGCGACGACGACGATGATGATGATGATGATGTGGAGGGGGTGCAAGGAAAAAAAAAAAGTGACAGCCATCCATCTGTCCATTCATCCAGGCCTGTTTGCTTGCTTGCTCGCAGCTCTCGCAGGGCAGAGCAAGCAGCCGCGCACAGACGGCGGGCACATCTGGCAGGCCAGCGGCGCCGGCAGCAGCAGCGAACGCGAAACGCAAGCTCGGCAGCTCGACGAACGAAAAGCGCGCGCGCAGCAAGCAGCAGCAGCAGCAGCAGCAAGCAGAAACAGCGTCATCACACACACACATGGACGTTTCGCATCTGCGTGTGATGCGTTTGAGCGTGCTGAGAACGGAGTCAAGTCGCGAGACCGCCAGCGCGCGCGCCCATGCTGATCCTACAGCACCGTGGTTGGTATGTGGTCGGCGCGCGGCCTCCTCGTGGCTCCGCAAGCGGCACCCGCTGCGCCCATGGTGCGACGCCCGCCCGCGCGAACTGCCGCCGCCTCCCTTGTTGCTGTGCTGCTGCTGCTGCTGCTGCTGCTGCTGCTGCTTTGCCTGCGGGTCGTCTCTGTCCTGTGAGTTGGTTGGCTGCTTGCTGGCATGCCTGCCTGCTGGCCTGCCCCTCTTCTTTTTTTTCTTCCTTGCGAGTGTGCTTGTGTGAGTGTGTGTACCAAGGAAAATGCTGTACGCTAGGGATTAAATATAGAGCGGCGGTGCTATCGATCCAGCAAACGAGTGACTGTAGTGTGTGCGTATGTGTGTGTGAGTGATGTATGAGAGGCGTAGAGATGCAGAAAAAATAATAGGAAAACGGGCGGCGTTTTGTATATACAATAGACTAGGAAAAATAAAGAATATGGTAGAGGAAGAAAAAGAAATAAATGGTGATTAAAAATGGTTCTACCCCATCATTCTACCCAGTTCATGCCGTGCGTGTCCTGTCTATCACGTCGTGCCCCATCCGCACCACCCTCTCCTTCCAATCTCATCGCGTGCTCAACTCCGTCCCGCTATGCTAGTGTCCGAAAATGAATCGAATGACGCCGCCTGTGCCCCGAGAGTAGTGTGCTGAAAGGGGTATCGTAGAAGTCGAAGAACAAACAGAAAGCGAGTGTGCTACTAGTTGGTGTGTGTTGTGTGTGTGTGTGTGTGTGTGTGTGTGTGACGGTGTATACGGCAAAAAAGAAATATGTATGTGAGGTGCTGAAGCGCGAGGGGAGCGCCAGTTGCCAATTTATGGGGGGTTTTTGGTGTGTGGGTGAGATGCAGTCTCGGGGAATATGAGAGGAGAGAGGGATATGGAGAGATATAGAGAGACAAAGTCGAAAGAAAGGGACAGTCTGGTAGGTTCAACACCCCGACGCTTAGCGAAGCTTCACGTCGAATCCGAGGCGGTCATGGCCAGCATCTTGGTGCCTCGGAACCGTCGTCAATCGCTCTCGCACTTTCGTCTTGGACTGCTGGGCCGATTCGTTCGTTGGTGGCTGTTATTGGAAGGGTACCCCCGGGTCGCTCGAGCTGCTGGGAATCATCTCCGCATGGGAAAAGCTGACATCCTCGGCGTCGTCTGGTAAGATGGCCTCGCCCGATAATTCAGCGACCTTGTCGCGGCAGGCTGCAGGCGAGAAGCCACTGCCAACCTTGGCCGAGATGATGCGCCACTTGTCGTTCTCGTACTCCTGAATCGCGTTGCGCAATTTTTGCACCTGTGGTGGCCACTGTCAGCGATGTCCAACGAAACCCCTTGAACAGGACCCGGGATGATCCGGCGTCGCCTTTGCGAGTAATACATACCATCTCGTCCGTCCAGACTGTCGTCTTCGCCTTCAACTTAGTGCAGTACCTGACCTGCAGGGTTCCCGAGCTTCTGCCAGGGAAAAATTCTGCAATTTGCTTCCACGTGAGGTTTTTCTTTTCCTTCAGGTCCACCAGCAGCTGGTCGTCCTCGGGCGTGAATTTGAGCTTTGGTCCACGAGGCCGAGGCGCGGGCGCCGGCATGCCCTCCTGGCCCACGACGCTGGGCGGGCCGTGAGACGTCAGTGGCGGCGAGGGCTCTCCATAGCTGCCACGGTGCAGCTTGTGCGGAGGCGCCTGGTTTGGCAGCCGATGGTGATGGTGTTGCTGCGGTGGCGGCGGCAGAGGCAGGTGGTGCGGAGGCGGACCAGGAGCCGTCTGGTAGTGCATCGAGGCGCCATGACTGTGATAGCCGTGCGGAGTCAAAGAGACGGGCACTTCGCCCGGCCCTTCGTCGCCGGAGAGTCCATGAAGGCCCTGAAGGTCGAGTCGCAGCTCGTACTCGCGGGAGCGCTTGCGGCCGCGCGGAGCGTAGTCGAGGTGCGAGGCGGTCGTGTAAGGCGACTGCGGCTGGTGCTGAGGCATCTGCCGCAGCATGTGAGCCTGATGCAGAGACGGGTGGGCCTCTATTCCGGAGACCTGGAGGAGCTGGGGATGGCCAGCATGCTGATGGTGGAGGGGCTGATGGTGTGCGGGGACTGCCGGCTGGAGGAACGGATTCGTGTGGGCGGGCAGGCCGTATTGATGGATGCCATGTTGGATATCCACGTTGGCGGAATGTCCTTCTCCCTGGTGTTCTTGCACAGCGTAGTCGAGGGAGAAGTCTCGGTAGGTTTTCGCCAGTGTTGCGAATATGCATGGAGACTGCCAGAGCGAGCTAGCTCTGGCAGACCGCCTGTGTGAGACCTGAATCGGAATGGACGTCCTGTCTGGGGTTGTAGGGGCGAGGAGTGGTGTATCGCACGTGTTTGGGGTATGCTCGCGTTCCGCTATATTGAAAGGTTGATGTTGCAGCAAAAGGCAGGCCAGGGCGATAACGGCGCGACTAAGATCTCCTCGACGGCAACGATTAGTACACGCAGATATCACTGATGCTGGCGTCGCTAGCGGAAAGGGACGGGTTATATCATGGCCATGGTCAGGAGAAGAGACAAAAGCATTGAAGACGACTCGGAGGCGATGTTCTCCACGTCCCAGCAAGCGGCAGCCCTGTGCAATGACTACACGGACACACACGCTCGACGTAACGGCCTTGGTTCCTGAAGAGTAGGTAGCGGGATTCGCTGAGTCGGAACAAGCTAAAACGACGCATTCTGCTACGAGCATAATGCGGTGATCATTTGCCGGGATGCGCACGCCCAGCACAGATCTCTAGAGCCCATCGCGGTCACTGGCCATGTTGTAATGCGGCGGGCCTGCTCGTGATTCGAGTGGCTCCCGGGAGAGGCGACGGATGGAGCAGGCGCGCGGGCCACGGCAGACCGGCTTTCTAGAACGTCGGCAGAAGCACGCAGGAGATTGAGCGCCTGACTGCGAGGCTGGGCGCCGTTGGCCGCGCCGCGGGCGGGCGGGCGGGTGGGCGGAGGAGGCTTCTGACGCAACGAGGCAGATGCCGTTTCAGTCGGCCGTCGCTATATCGTAGGTCCCGGTCTATATGCGCGTCGACATGCCCGCGGAGATCACGCTGGCTGAGGGCGAGATCTGCCGGGGCTAAACATAGCAGAGATGAGGTGAAAAGGCTCCATAAGGCAGGTCATGGGTTCGCAGCCGATCAGGAGCCTGCATTACGAAGGGGCCGGCGATCACCTGCACGTGAGGCGCCAAATCACGTTGCACCCACCCTGCTCCATCTTCACCACCCGCGCCTGAAACATCGGCCGCTGCCGACGCCCTCCTGGCTTGTTTCGCCATCGCCACGGCACCAGCTTCCGGCGAGATCGTGCATCGTTGCAGTCGTGTGCTACCGCTGCTGCGGCTTCCGGCGTGGGTGCGGTGAGAGGCGAGTCTCGAGACGCGAGAGAGAGAGACGGTCGAGACTCGACGCGAGACGAGGGAGCGAGACGGAATCTGTGTGTGAGAGAGTGTGGAGTGAGAGAGAGAGAAAGAGAGAAAGAGAGAGTCGAGAGAATCGAACGATTCTCTTTCTCTCTCTGTGTGTGTGTGTCTGCATCCTGCTGCATTCCTAGCTCAACTCCTACGCATGCAACAACAAGAAAAAGTTT